CTACAGAAGTCCTAGATTCAGCTTAAAGAGGAAAGAGATGCCTTCAAGGCTCAGTTTTATGCTAGTGAGAAGAAAGTACTGGAGCTGACAAAATGACTCCATGAAGAATAAAGCCTTAATGCATATGCCAACACAAAGAGGAAGCATCCATGGGAGACTTTAATCCATATTTTTATGTTTTATAACTCTTTTTATTGAAAGCAATTATAATTTGAGCTTGTTACTAAAATTTCTCATGTCCTTTTGTTTAAACGAATTTAAATCCCATGACGGTCCTTGAAAACATTGCACTTGCATTTGCATATCATGCATATCATCACATAACAGGTACTCTATAAGCAGGTTTTCTCATCTTCTTGTTGTTTATTTCAGTAAAAGATGGCTCTAGAACAGGCTGTCAAGGAACTCCAAGCACAGAATACCCAATTCCAGGAAACGCTCTTGAACTTAGCCCAGGGGCAAAAAGATATGATGGCGCTCATCGCCAAAAAGAAGAAGACTCGAAAGCCAACAATCTTTCTTAATATGGGCAGAATTTTTAAGGGTCCAGTTAGAAGGGCTCTAGATATTGCGGTCCTCCTGAATGAAGAAGATAACCAAGAGAAAGATGACGAGAGTGTGAAAGCTGAAGAGAATAAAAACCTTGGTTCTGGCCAAGATTCTGATGAAGACTATTCTTCCGAACAATATCCTCTCGCTGATGACAAATACAAGCAGCTGGAAGATCGCCTCAAGGCCATGAAAATCTAGGAAGTGCCTGGATTGGATTTTGAAGAGTTGGGTCTTATTCCGGGGGTAGCTATCCCTTACAAGTTCAAGGTCCCCGCTTTTGCTAAATATGTTGGTGTTTCTTGTCCTAAACTTCATCTTAGGTCCTATGTTCAGAAGATCCAACCCCATACTACTGAAAAAATGTTATGGGTTCACTTCTTTCAGGAAAGTTTTTCTGGTACACAACTCGAGTGGTTATATCAACTGGAGGGAACCAACATCCGTACTTGGGAAGACCTGGCTGCTGCTTTTTACAAGCAGTATCAATATAATGCTAACCTTGCACCAACCTCACGTGCAATTACAAAACATGACTATGGGCTCGAATGAAGGGTTCAAAGAGTATGCCCAAAATTGGAGAGATCTGGCTGGACGAGTTCAACCTCCACTGTCTGATAGAGAGCTGGTGGATATGTTCATGGGCACTTTGACAAGGCTATTCTTTAACCATCTGATTGGAAGCTCCTCATCTGGTTTCACTGAGCTGATTCTAGTTGGAGAACATGTTGAAAGTGGTATCAAGAGCACAAAAATTCAAGTGGTTGCGTCTTCAAGTGCTGTAAAGAAGACATTCAGTGGTAAGAAGGAGACCAATGTTGTTTATAGCCAGAAGGGAAGTGTTAAAAATGACTGCAATCAGTTTGTGGGAGCGGTATTAGTTTCTAATCATGCGCCTGTTCAACAACAACAACAAGGAAATCAGCATAGGTCAGATGCTCCGAGAAGACAATTTACGAAGACCAGTATGCCATTATCTCATGAATTACAACATTTACTAAAAGTGGAGATGATAACTTTAAGGGATCCTCCTCAGAATCCTAACACCTCCTCTCCTCGATACAATCCAAATGTGAAGTGTGCCTACCATTCCAACAGTCTTGGGCACGATACTAATAACTGTTGGGCCATGAAAAATAAAATTCATGATATGATTGACAACAAAGAGATTGAGTTTGATCCTCCGATGACCCCGAATGTGATTACTGCACCTATGCCGAAGCATGACAAAGGTATAAGTGCTATTGACGATGTTCTTTATGTTGCTACTGTAAGCGAATTGGTTACTCCCCTACCAATCATCAAGAAGAATCTGTTGCAGGCCGGTTTATTTCTGGGCTGCATTGAAAAATGTTACTGCTGCGCAACCCAACCCAATGGCTGCAAGTTGCTGAAGGAATCAATTCAACGCCTAATGGTCAATCACATAATTCTGTTTGAGAAGGTTCCGTCTACTGAGAATCTATTTCAAGACTTATCCGTAATATCCAGCACTCCTGTCAGGATTACCTCCAAAGGTCCTATAAGAATTACTACCAATTTGAAAGTTGCTCTTCTAATCATCACTACACCTGGACCTATCCCATATTTTTCGGATAAAGTTATTCCTTGGAACTATGGATCCAACGTCTACTACCATGGCGTTAAGCAAGAATTACCGACTGTTGAAGATGAAGTTACTAAAGTTGTTGATCCCGACATTGACAATATTGCTGGGACCAGTAAGGTTACTAGAAGCTGAAGGGTTTTCTCCCCAGAAATCTCTCTGAAAACGGTCGCTACACCTGTAAGAGTTAAATGTACTATTAAAAGGCGCTCTGGATAGACTTGATTATGAGGGGGTTCTGCTGAAACCCAGTGATATTATAGTTCGAGCCTTTGACGGATCAAAGAGGATAGTACACGGAGAAATGGATCTTCCAATCAAGGTAGGTTCACAGGTCTTCGAATCTACCTTCTATGTAATGGATATTCGTCCAACTTATTCTTGCTTACTAGGACGCCCCTAAATCCATGGGGCAGGTGCTGTTACCTCAGCCCTACATCAGAAGTTAAAATATCCTGTGAACGGAAAGATTGTTACTGTCTGCGGTGAAGAAGAGTATATGATTAGCCACTTGAACTCTTTCTGGTATGTAGAGATGGACGGAGAATTCATCGAAACTCCCTATCAAACTTTTGAAGTCATCCCTCACGCCTCAACTGAAGACGTCTCTGCCATTCCCAAAGTCACCAGGGTTCTGCCCATAATGGCTTCCTTGAAAGATGTTAAAGTTTTTGTAGAAGAAGGTGGTTGTACTATTTGGTGCCAGCTTCCTGACATTCCGTATAAATCTGACAAATTTGGTTTGGGTTTCACTGCAGAGGGTAAGAGGGTTGTTCATCACGCTCGTGCTGGAAGACCACCATTCTGTGTCAGCAACAACGAAGTCAACGTGATAGAAGATGGTGACAGTGATTATATCCTTGACAGTTGCACTTGTTTCCTCAATATCATATTTCTTCTACAGAGCTTCCCATACATGTTTAGCAGTCTCATAATTACCATAATAATCATATAGGTCGTCAGAGAGACTGTTCAGAATATGATTCTTGCAAAGATAATCATTATTTTTCCATATAAGTATTTCCTTTTTGAGCTGCAAATCATCTGCTTTAGCTTCCGCAGAAGGAAGCGATTCAGAAGTAGTATCTTCTGAACTCACAACAATCTTACCACTAGTCTGTTCAGTTGATCCAAAATGAGCAACATGCTTATCCTCATTCAGAACATGGGCAACTTTCTTTAGGATCAAGAAAATTTTCATCTATGCTTGCCAATGTTTGAAGTGAAAGTCCTCAAACTTAAATGGTTTATCCGAGACAGCAGCGACCGCATTAGTACCAATAATTTTCTCAGTAGCCATGGCAGTTAAAGAAAAATCGTCTTAAAATTATTGTTTTCAGTTTTGAAACAAAATTGCCACGAAGGAAGTTATCAGCTGAGTCGCGAAATAGTACGCTTTCTTTAAGATATTTCACGATACTGCCACAATTTATACATAACAAAAGGGTTACGATTATCACTTGCACTGTGATGAACCGTTCGAAGAAATACACCTTCAGATGGTGTTTAAACCACTCGTAATATCTGAAAAATTTCAGTCGTTCATGGCACACAAGACCACTAGAAAAATACAGAAGAAAGAAATAGTTTTGAGATGAAGAGAAGAGAGAGAGAAGAGAGATTCCAAAAATTTAGAAATCTAACGTACCTTACCACTAAACTTAGGAATCCAATTAATAGGTAAAAGATTCAACTGAGTGGAAAGAAAATAATGGGAGAGTGGAGAGAAAATAGTGGGAGAGAATTACTCACTCAAAATTAGGTTTTGATTAGTGACACATTATTAATTAATAATCAATTAATATTAATAATTTAATTCCACATAATCACTTAAAATTAACTCACATTAAAATAGGGTGATCCTTTCAAATTCACGATAAATTTCCAACAAGTTCTTGGACATCCGCGTTTTGAATTGCTGTTAACTGTTAAATTTAAAAAGTTGGTGCCAAAGTTTGATGATTAATTTCAAGTTATTGTTAAATGGGATTTAAAAAGTTGGTACTCATCGTACTACATTGGTTTTACTTTTAAAGTAACATTATCGAAATTTGAATTCTCTCCTTCATTTTTCTCTCCTCTCTCCATCATCTCTATCTCTTAATCTCACTTACTCATTATTAAAAAACAAAAATATAATAGAGAATGCAATTAAGAGAGAAATAGAGAGGGAATGAGAGAAAAATGAAAGAGAGGATCCAAAGTGAACATTATCCCGTTTTGAAGTTATTGTATTAATTAAATGGAAAGGATAATACTTAAAACACAAAGTAGTTTAGTTATTGTGTTTATTAAAAGGAAAGGATAATACTTAAAACACAAAGCATATCAATGCAAGAAGAATTTCCCAAGTGACTATATATTACTTATTCAAATCTATATCTCAACCAAAAAGATACATAACTCTATTGCATGTAGAATGTCTTTCTAAAAAACACAGTTTAAAAAGGCAATCAAATCAATAAAAAACTAAGTGTTAAGTTAATCCTCTTTTATACTATTATTATATACTCGAGTGTTTTTACCAGACATGACCATTTTTATCAAGATTTAAAACGAAAATACATCCTTGTGAATTCATTATTGCAAACCAGATTCACAACAAGGTGCTGTACTGAATAAAATTTTAAGAAATTTCATTCTCTTGTCACTTCAAAAAATACATAGAATTTAGTAGAAATCGAGTGCAAGGAAATAATACTTGAATTAGACAAAGGAAAACAGATTAAATTCAAGTATTCGGACTGTTTAAAGTATATGACATGAGAACAAAACAACCTAAAATACTTAAATAAAAATCAAGATTTTCTTTGTTGAAAAAACACAAATGGCACCCAATAACACTCTAACTATCCTTAGCCTCCTCAGCAGCTGTCTCAAAAGTTTCTCCAGGGACAAGCTCTGGAACATCATCATCATTCTCTTCTTGCGCTGTGGCTGCGCCAGCACCTGCTTCAGGAACCTGCTTATTGAACTGCTCAGCTATCTTCTTCAGGTTTTCCAAATTATCAGGCCCTGGATTTTAATAATATTCAAAACATTAAGATGAGAAGGAAAATAAACACAAAATGCACCTTTGAAAATGTTGACAGCACATACCTAATTGGTGGATAATGCTAGGAAGAATGTCTTGCAACTCTGCAGAAGGGAAAATTAAATTTTAATTTCATTTTTGCAGCAAACAATCAGCCAAAAACAAGCAGCACATTATAGAAGGTCGTTCATAAATTGTAGCAAGCAATGCCTTAGTGTACTCTAAAATAAAATGAAATAAACCAGATTATCCAATGTGAAGAGATAAAACTATCTTACTCTTGGTTTGAGGAGCACCACTAACAACCCATGTATTAGCAGCAATGGATGCTTGAACTGGAAACAAAACAATACAATTTAAATGTCAGCAAAATCTAAAAAGCAATACAAATAAAGCCTGTTATATCAAAAGTATAAATGCTGAAATATTGTGGACTGTCATCATCACCTTTGGGGTTTGAGAACTGGATGACAACGTCATCCTTAAAGATATTGACCTCCTCAATTTGAGGGATGGCATTCACCCCAATTCTCTTCAGGGTGCTCTGAAGCCTTTTATCATCTGTAGTTGTTGTCTTGTGGACAGCCTTCTTCTTTCTAAGGTAAACAGAATGCAGAACATCAAGAGATTATTCAACTTAACAAAAGCATAACGGATTCAACAGAAATATAACATCTAAAACTCATGTCAACATATGGCTATAGTGACTCCAATGACAAATGACAGATCTATCAAAGAAAAGACCAAAGTTATACCTTCTGACGGTACCCTTTCCACCAGTTCGAACTGAACCGGCCATCTTCATCAACTTTTCACGATTCATCTGAGTAAAAGGTACAAAAACTAAACATAAATTTCATAACACCAAACTACATTAAACTAAATGATGCAAATTTATTAGTAGCAAAACTCAATATGGAGTGGTAAGACCTAAATAGTGTAGAAATATACATGGTGGAAAAAATATAACGCATTAAAGGGTCGCATACAAAAACGAAACTAACATAAGCTAAAAATGCGGTCTTTGACTGACTTATAGTATTTTGCACGGTATGAGCTCAACTAAATCATATAAAAGGGCAACAACAATCCCAAGTTAAAGAAAACCAAAACATCCTACATCACACAAAGAATACCCGATACAGATCACATCAAATCTGAAAGGAAAACAAAACTTCTCAACCACCTTCAAGCAAATCAGTATCTCAAAGCTCAATATACAACTAAAAATGATTGATTACCCAAAATACTAAATTGATAAAAAACGGAATGGAAAAATAGGACGAATTCGAAATCAACATAACGCACATAAATTAGGTCAAATTCTGAAGGGTTGAAAAAGCAACACAGCAACGGATAATAAGATACAACGAAACAAAAAACCAGTGAAATGATATAGATAAGGAATAATGAAAATACCTTTGTGAAATCAGTGATTTTGAACACAGGGTAAGCCTCAGCGTGAAGAAGAACGAAACAACGCAACGAGATAAGGATCCTTCTTATACCACCTATAAAACCCTAGAACCTTTTTTTATTTATTTATTTATTTATACAAATTAAAAATAAAAAAGTTGGGCCGGATCTTAAGGCCCATAACCCGAATCCGATTCGAACTCAAACCCGAGTTATCTAACAGCAGGAGTAGCAACAAACACAGTTACACGTTCATGCTGAGTTCTGAGTGGTGATGAATATTTTATTATTTTTATTATTCTTTTAGTTTTTCTAATGGCTTCGTTACTACATTCTTCATCTTCATGGTCCTCTTCGTTGCCGATGAAACCAAACATGGGATTGATGGTGATGCTTCCTCCAACAACGCTAAAGCCTTCGAAGCTGTGTTGTGTTAAGAACCCCAACAGCGAGGAAGTTGTCAATTCGATTGAAGCTAAAAAAATCGGTCCTGTTGATCCTGTAAAGCTCGCGTTTGAGAAAGCTAAAGCTTATAAAAATTCGATTAAATCTAAGTCTAGTTTGGGAATTGAGGAAAGTAGTGGTGGCGAAGGCAATTCGGTTAAAGAGGATACAAATGTTATTGATGGAGGGAAAAAGGATATGCCAGTTTCGGTAAAGATTGCTATGGAGAAGGCTAGGAAGTATAAGCAGAATAAAGGAGTTGCTGTTACTGTTAGTGGAACTGATCAAGGTAATAATTGGCTTATTTGAGCTTATTCTAATGAACTTAATTTATGAAAACATTGGAGGTTATCTGTTTGTATAAATGTCTGTGAAACGTTTTAAGAAATTTATGAAATTTTTTTATAGGATTACAGGAAGGGAGAGTGAGGACGTGGGATGAAAATATGAATGACAATAGTGTTGGTAAGAAAGTTGAACTGTCTGTTTCAAAGATGGATTTTGTGGGGCTTGGTTTTGCGGATAAGCCGAAGACAAGGGGACTGCCGCCTGGTCTGGTTCCTATTTCAGACTCTTACTTAGATGGTGACTTACCTGAGGTGGAGTTTATTGTCGGAGACACAACAAAATTCGATGCAAAAACAACAGCTCTGCAACCTCAACAGACTATGGAAGATGAGTCAGAACTGTATAAGCCAAAAGTTTCTACATGGGGTGTATTTCCTAGACCTAACAATATTTCAAAAACAGTATGGTATTTAGTATTTGCCAAATAATTTGCAATATGAACCTTTATAGTCCACTTGTTTGTGATACTGATATGATATCTGTTTCAAATTTGCCTTTTTTTTGTTCTTGGCCTATTCAGTTTGGAGGTGGAAGAGTTATACGTCCTGGAGAGGTTTTAGAGACTGAAGAAGAAAAGGCGATAAAAGAAGAGCGCACAAAGCAGAAGCTTGCTGCTTACAAGAAGAAATATGGATTAAATATTGATCCAAAGCTAAAAGCCGAGTGCCAGGAGGTAAACATATCTATTCGCATCCCAACATATTACTGCCATTATTTTCTTCTTTAAAGCATGTGTATTTCTTCGTGTCTGCAATATTTGTATGCAAGTGAGCATATTTAAAATTTTATAGGAAAAAGAAATTGATGTCTTAAGATGATCAAATTTCTTAGCTTATTGAAAAGAAGGCAATGATTTGATATAAAATGTGATAAATCGTTAGATTGACATCAGTGTTGTCAAATTGCGGCCATGCCGGATTGCGGTTGCGGAAATTCAAAATAGCGCCATAGAAAAGTTCTGGCGTTGCGGATTTTGCATTGCGGCGCCATGGTGGCCGCCACAAGTTTAAGGTTCACGGCGGCATGGCGGAAATTGCGGGTTATTTTTTAAAAAAATCTGAAAATTTGTGTCTGTATTATTTTACTCAACCCCAATTATAATTTTGATTAAATATCAATAACCCTCATTAAATACAAAAAATTACTCTGATAAATATTTATAAAACTAAAACACCCTGCAACCTCATTTCTTCTTCTTCCTATGTGTATTCTTCATCAGGTTTTTTTATCTCTTTTATTTCTCTATTTGTTTTACTATGTTGTTTTTCTTGCATTCTACTTGTGTATCCCCTTCTTCTCTAATGTTCTTGTTTTTCTTGTTTGTTATTACTTAAGTTTTATTCTATTTAGTGTAGAAAATTTCATTTTTCTCGTTTATGTTACATTGTTATTACTATTTTTATTTTTTTGTTCTGTTTTTATGTATTTGAGACATGCCCCGTCTATCTTATTTACCTTATAATGTCTATTTTGAAGAACTTCAGATATGAATTCTAGTTTCCTCCATGTATAATTCTGTTTTTTAAGTTTTATGAATTCAGTTTTTTGCTTTATTTTGGCAATGTTACTGTTTTTTGTGTATATATATATACATAATAATGTTTTTTGTTTGCCCGCCATGCTTCTGCAATTTTCCATTCTGCCATCAGCCATAATTTTATGGCGGATTTTTGGTTCCCCGCTATTTTCCGCAATCCGCCATAATTTAATGGCGGATTTTTGGTTCGCCGCTATTTTCCGCAATCTGCCGTAGACAACACTGATTGACATTTAACTTAGGCGGCCTTCCTAAAATGCTCCATAAAGGTCATAAAGATTGTTGTTTTCGATTTTGAAAAAATGCCACAAAGAAAAATTATCGGGACGAGTCGCGTACTAGGTCGCTTTCTTTAAGACGTTTCGTCGTACTGTCAATAGTTATGCAAAGCAGTCGAGTTTAGACGACGTCTCAAGGATAAAACAGCCTGTTCAGAAGTACGATTATTACTTGCACGGTAATAAACCGTTCGAAGAATTACACCTTCAGATGGTATAAAACCAGTCGTAGTATCTGGAATTTTCCAGTCGTTGATCGCTTAGTAAGTCAGTCGAAAACAGAAAAGAAAATTTTGTAGATGAAGTAGAGTAGAGAGAAGAGAGAATTCAAATTGTAAATTCTGGAATGCTTATAAATGAATTGAAGAGTTCTATTTATAGGCAAATAATCCAACTGAATGGAACAAGTATGGTGGGAGAAAATCGTGGGAGATAGTGGAACCGACCCAGTCAAATGTAGTCGTTTTTTTACTTGGTCAGCAAGTCACACGTACACGTATGACTCTTGGAGGGCAAGCATAACCAGTCAAAAAATAGGTTAAGACTTGGTTTCTGTGCAGGACACGTCACCATTTCGTAATTAATTAATATTAATATTAATTAATTTCTTATTTTTTAATTTCCACCGAATTAATTAACTAATGATAATTAATTTCCACTAATACCCGAATTAGTGGAAATTAATTATCATTAGTTAATTAATTCTGTGAAAATTAAAAAATAAGAAATTAATTAATATTAATTAATTATGAAATGGTGACGTGTCCTGCACAGAAACCAAGTCTTAACCTATTTTTTGACTGGTTATGCTTGCCTTCCAAGAGTCATACGTGTACGTGTGACTTGCTGACCAAGTGAAAAAAACGGCTACATTTGACTGGGTCGATTCCACTATCTCCCACGATACTTGTTCCATCAGTTAGATTCTTTGCCTATAAATAGAATTCTTCAGTTCATTTATAAGCATTCCAGAATTTACAATTCGAATTCTCTCCTCTCTCTACTCTGCTTCATCTACAAAATTTTCTTTTCTGTTTTCGACTCGCTTACTAAGCGATCAACGATTGAAAAATTTCAGATACTACGACTGGTTTTATACCATCTGAAGGTGTAATTCTTCGAACGATTTATTACAGCGCAAGTAATAATCGTATTTCTGAACGGGTTGTTTTATCCTGGAGACGTCGTCGAAACTCGACTGCTTTGCATAACTATTGGCAGTACGATGAAACATCTTAAAGAAAGCGACCTAGTACGCGACTCGTCCCGATAATTTTTCTTTGTGGCATTTTTTCAAAACCGGAAACAACAATTTTAAGACGTATTCTGAACTGCCATGGCTACTGACGAAATTATCGGTACTACTGCGGCCGCTTTTGTCTCTGACAAACCATTTAAGTTTGAGGGTTCCAATTTCAAACGTTGGCAAGCTAAGATGAAATTTTTCTTAACTTTAAAGAAGGTTGTCCATGTTCTGACTAAGGATATCCCTGTTGCTCCTTCTGGATCAAATGAACTAAATAATGGTAAGACAATTGTGGAATCAGACGAGACTTCTAAAATGTTTGACTTAGACTCTGCTGCGGAAGATAACTTACAACTCGGAAAAGAAATCGCCCTATGGCAAGAGAATGACTACTTATGCAAAAATCACATTCTGAACAGTCTTGCTGATGATCTCTACGGTTACTACAGTAATTACAAGACTGCTAAACAGGTATAGGAGGTTCTACAGAAGAAATATGATATTGAAGAAGCAGGTGCAAAGAAATATGCTGTCAGCCGCTATTTGAATTACAAAATGGTGGATGAAAGGTCTGTGGAAGCTCAAAGCCATGAAATTCAGAAAAGTGCTAATGAAATCATAATTGAAGGTATGCCCCTCGTTGAACAATTCCAGATTGCTGTTATAATTGACAAGCTGCCCCCTGGTTGGAAAGATTTCAAAAATTTGCTTCGACATAAAACTAAAGAGTTTTCAATCGAGGGTTTGATTACTCGCCTCCGAGTTGAAGAGGAAGCTCGAAGGCAAGATCAGAAAGATGAAGTCTTAGTTGTTTCAAACAACAAAAAGAAATTTGATGCGGTTCTGAAGCCAACGAGCAGACCTTTAAAGAATTAGAACCGTAATACTGTGAACCGAATTAAGTATGAGAATTCCTCTAGGGCCCCATATGCTCCAATTGCTAGGCAGCAACCACCACCTCAGAGAAATGATGTTCCGGTTTTCACTTGCTACAATTGTGGGAAACCGGGTCATATGGCTAAGAAATGTAAGAGCAGGCCTAAACCTGCTACTGGCTCAAATGCACAGATTAACCTGATTGATGAGCAATTCATTGCTATGATCACTGAAGTCAACATGGTTGGTGGAAGTGATGGTTGATGGATAGACACTGGTGCCTCTCGTCATGTTTGTTATGATCGTGTTAAGTTCAAGACATACATGAATGCTGAAGATAAGAAAGTGTTGTTGGGAGATGCTCACACCACTAATGTTGCTGGAATTGGAGATGTTGAGCTGAAGTTTACCTCAGGAAAGACTTTGATCTTGAAGGACGTCATGCACGTTCCTGAAATTAGGAAGAATCTTGTTTCTGATTTTCTTTTAAATAAGGCTGTGTTTAGTCAAACTATAGGGGCAGATTTGTACACCATCACTAAGAATGGTATTTTTGTTGGGAAAGGGTACGCCACTGATGGCATGTTTAAGTTGAATGTTGATTTGAATAAGATTTGTCCTTCTGTTTATTTTTTGCGTGATCTTAATATTTGACATGCTAGACTTTGTCACGTTAATAAGCGAATTATGTATAATGCAAGCAACTTAGGCCAGTGATTCAAATAAATCTGAATAGTGTAGTCAAGCTAAAATAACTAAGACATCACATAAATCAATTATTAGAGAATCTGATCCCCTAGATCTTATACACTCTGATATATGTGAATTAGATGGAACTTTAACTAGAAACAGTAAATGTTATTTTATCACTTTTATTGATGATTGTTCTGATTATACTTATGTATACTTAATGAAGAATAAAAGTGAAGCACTTGATATGTTTAAGTTGTATGTAACTTAAATTGAGAATCAACTTAGTAAGAAGATTAAGAGACTTTGTAGTGATAGGGGAACTGAATATGACTCTGGTCTATTTATTAATGATTTTTATAAAGAACATGGAATTGTACATGAAACGACTGCTCCATATTCTCCTGAAATGAATGGTAAAGCAGAAAGAAAGAATAGAACTCTTACTGAACTTGTTGTTGCAATTATGATGAATTCTGGTGCTGCACCTCACTGGTGAGGGGAAATTTTATTGACTGTTTGTTGTGTCCTGAATAGAGTCCCCAAGTTAAAATGTAAGATCTCTCCTTATGAGATATTAAAGAAAAGACAACCAAACTTGTCTTATTTGAAAACTTGGGGTTGTCTGGTTTATGTCAGAATTCCGGATCCGAAACGAGTTAAACTCGCTAGTAGAGCATATGAATGTGTTTTCATTGGGTATGCAGCAAACAATAAAGCATATAGGTTTTATGACCTAAAGGCATAAGTGATCATAGAATCAAATGATGTTGAATTCTATGAAGACAAATTTCCTTTCAAATTGAGAAATAGTGGGGGCACACAATCAAGTCACATTCCTGTGATAAGAAGCACAGAAAGCAACGACAATGTAGAAACAGAACTTCGACGAAGTAAACGAGTAAGAGTTGCTAAAGACTATGGGCCTGATTATGCGGTTTATAATGTAGAAGAAGATCCAATGAATCTTCAAGAAGCCTTGTCATCTCTGGATGCTGATTTATGGCAAGAAGCTATCAATGATGAGATAGAATCTCTAGAATCTAACAAGACCTGGCACTTGGTAGACTTTCCTCTTGGTTGCAAACCAATCGATTTTAAATGGGTTTTGAAAAAGAAACTAAAACCTAATGGAATTATTGATAAATACAAGGCTCGCCTTGTTGCCAAGGGTTTTAGACAAAGAGAAAATATAGATTTCTTCGACACCTTTTCTCCTGTCACTAGAATTACATCCATTAGGGTAATTATTTCAATAGCTGCTATTTATAACTTAATAGTACTTCAAATGGATGTTAAAACAACTTTTTTAAATGGTGACTTAGAAGAAGAAGTCTATATGGAACAAACGGAAGGGTTTGTGATTTATGGACAAGAAAACAAGGTCTGTAAGTTAGATAAGTCTTTGTATGGACTAAAACAAAGCTCCTAAGCAATGGCATGATAAATTTGATAACTTAATGATATCAAATGGGTACAAAGTGAATGAAAGTGACAAATGCGTTTACTATAAATCTGAGAATCACATATGCACTATCATATGTCTCTATGTAGACGATCTACTCATATTTGGATCAAATATTCAGACCATTAATGACGTGAAATCACTGTTGTGCAACAACTTTGATATGAAAGACCACGGAGAAGCAAGTGTGATCCTTGGTATCAAGATCACGAGATCCGAACAAGGAATTTCTTTGGATCAATCACACTTTGCGGAGAAGATCTTAAAGAAATATAAATACTTTGACTGTAAACCTGCATGCACACCATATGATCCAAGTGTGAAATTGTTTAAGAACACTGGAGAAAGTGTCAGACAATCAGAATATGCGAGCATCATTTACAGTCTTAGGTATGCCACTGATTGTACTAGACTCGACATTGCATATGTCGTAGGATTGTTATGCAGGTTTACGAGTAGATCGAGTAAAGAGCACTGACAAGCTATTGAACGAATCATGAGGTACCTCAAAAGGACCATGGATCTCGGCCTACATTATCAGAAGTTTCCTGCTGTACTAGAAGGGTACAGTGATGCAGATTGGAATACTTTGTCAAATGATTCCAAAGCTACTAGTGGCTATATATTTAGTATAGCTGGAGGAGTTGTATCTTTGAAATCAAAGAAACAAACTATCCTAGCTCAGTCCACAATGGATCTGAGATGATAGCACTAGCCACAGCTAGTGAAGCAAGTTGGTTGAGATGCTTGCTAGCTGAGATCCCTTTATGGGAAAAACCTACGCCAGCTGTGTTGATCCACTGCGATAGTACCGCGGCTATTGCAAAAATTGAGAACCGTTATTATAATGGTAAAAGACGTCAAATAAGAAGAAAGCACAGCACTGTCAGAGACTGTATCTCTAAAGGAGCTGTAAGAGTGGATCATGTACGCACTGATGAAAACTTAGCAGATCCTTTGACGAAAGGATTAGCTAGAGAGAAAGTCCATAATACATCCAAGAAGATAGGACTAATGCCTATAAAGAAATGAGTTGCTCATGATGGTAACCCGACCTAGATGACTGGAGATCCCAAGAAATAGGTTCAATGGATAATAACAAGTTGTGAGTAATATGAGATGATCATGCAAGTAAAGCATGAATCCTGAAGTAATAAGAGGATGAGATAATAGAAGCTCTTAATGAGATCTATACTCTATATGAGGGAGTACCTAGGCTACAAGAGTACTCTTGATAGACTCACCTTTGTGATTGTGGAACTTGGGTCGGTTCCTATGGAATTGCGAGGCAGAATTCCTAGAGCCTTCACTAAACCAGGATACACGTGTAGGGCTATTAAAACACGAGCTATTAGAATACACTTTAAGAAAAGGTTGTGTGCGGGTCTGATGTCTGAGATAGAGTTCAAGACAATAGTGTCACTCTTGTTGAATCGGAATCTTACTTGCTACGCAAAGGTTCAAGTCGTAGACACCTTTGTTTATGCACAATCTTAAAAACGTTTGACGTGCTTCTAAAATCACCTTTTAAATTCAAGTGGAGGATTGTTGGAAATCTTGGTATGATGTTAACTTGGAGTGTGAGTTGGAATGGTTTATTGACATTAAATGGACAATAAATGAGCATAAGTAAGAACTAGTATGGAAGTAAATTTGAAAGGATTCATTTTAGTCCCACATAGGAGAAAATACAAATATTAGTAGTGTATATATATATTCCAACTTGGTCAATTGAGTTGGGCTCCAAGGGACACTCCAAACGTTTTTAAGATTGTAAAGGAGTGAGGACACACCTATAAGCCATTTAGACACACGCGCGTGCGCCGCCGTCCGGTCGGTTCGGTCTAGATGAATTAATTTTTGTGAGAATATATATACACTACTAATATTTGTATTCCCTCCTATGTGGGACTAAAATGAATCCTTTCAAATTCACTTTCATACTAGTTCTTACTTATGCTCATTCAATGTCAATAAACCATTCCAATTCAAACATCATACCAAGATTTCCAACAAAGATTGACTATTATTTTGAGTCTTTTAACAGTTTTCATCACAAAGTAGTTATCAAATCTTGCTTTCTGCAAACCGGCCATATCTAATTCAAACCAAGAATTTGGTGATATATTACTTTACTGTGTGACTTACCCAATCTTTATGGAACACTAACAGTCTCAGATTCGTGACAGAACTCCTATTCTACTCATTCTATTGTTAGTTCATATGTGCTGTACAGAATATAGATTGTGATTAAAAGATCCCGGCCTGGGGAAGGGGGCATATGTGATGCTAACTTCCAAATGCTTTGTCAAATTTCTGTATACGATTGTAATTATAATCCACTCTTATAGATGAAATGAGAGTTTCTTTCTTGAATATAAGGTGGTGAAATTTGTAGGGTTGTGTTTCATATATAATCCTCATTTGATAATTATAACAACTAATGATCAAATTTGAAATTTTTAATGTTAATAAATTATATCATCGTATCAATTGTCATACTATTTTTTTTAAAGTTAAGCTCCTAATCCTTATCCTAGTTTTAGAAGACCATTAGCCTAATTCACCTCTTTATTTTATTTGTTTTTTAAAAATTATATTATTCAATTTAAAAAATAATGTGCAAGGCTCTAGATAGTTGCTATTGCTTGTTTAATTAGTTATTAGCCTCTTTAATTGTTTATCTGTTGCTTAGTAATTCAAACATAATTTTATTTCATGGATTGTATACAATATTCATAGGAATTGAACAAAGGGGACTTGTTAATGGATGCGGGAAAACTGAAGGATGCATTACCCTATTATGAGAAGGTTATTGACAAATTACCCTTCCAGGTAAACTTTTACATATAAATTACTTACGTACCAGTTTTTTAGAGGTGGGGAAATGCATATCTATATAAATAAGTATTTCATGATTGATGAAGGTAAACACAATACAGTCAGCAGTGGAATGAGATGAACTTTTTTTTCTTCAAACCAAAAGGGTATTTTGATTGTCCTTTTAAAATTATTCAGATTTATTGAGCATTAAATTATGTTTAATATTTGAACTTTTGAATGTCATGCATATCATATACTCTAGTAGGGAAACTAGGAAAACATATATATGGAGGAATATATGTTTGAGATGAACATGTCTGTGCAGAGTGAGCTCCATGGATTAGCAGCCTTACAATGGTCGATTTGTCTAGACTCCCTCAGTAGGTATATTTCAATGTTCTTGACATATCTAAAATTCTCATGTAATACATTGTTGTGTTCTACATAGGATTGAAGACACTGTAATTTACATATGCAAGGTAGTTATTTCAGGTTTGTGCACCATGATACCCTCCCAAACACAACTTTGTTTTGTTTCAAAGTTAGCTATAGTGTCTATAGTTTAACTTAAAAGGTTAAATAATTGAGTAGTTTTTAAAACAGGTCATAATATTGCATTGTGTTCGGGGTTCAATAGGTTTGTCTTGGGTTGCCTTGTTAAAGTGCTTCTATGAACATTGTTAAAGTGCTTCTTCTATGAATATGAACAATAGGTGTTGAATCATGAAAATTGTGTGGTTCTCATTTTATGTGTTTCTATTTTCTGTCCTTGGTGTGCAGTTTTTTCCATCAAAGTATGCAAGGGACAAGATATAACAAATACATAGTAAAATATATTGATGACTTAGAGGGGCTTTCGCTAATGCTACTACTCGAAAAGCGGTGATATCTTAGACTGGGGAAGGGGTAGAATAATATCATTTCTTTGCTGAAACTCAACTATAGTTTATCTATACACCTTGTATTCTCTTGTAGTATCAATAAACAATTTAAATTCTATGAACATGTCACTGCTAGTCTGCTACAACTAGGACTTTGTTCATAAACTATCATAGAAGTGTATGTGTTTTACTGATTATTAATGGACTTTTTTTTCTTCTTAATAAAAAAGTTTCCAAATATAATTTGTTGATTGACAGGCACAATGAAGCTCGAAGTATGTATGAAAAGCTTCAATCTCACCCAAATGTTAAAGTAGGCAAGAAAGCAAGACATTTCATGTACAGCTTTCAGGTAATTTCTGGTGGCTTTTAAGTTTAGGAGTTTATGTAAAATGATTTGCTAAATACCAGTGCAACATCACTCTTTCTTTATTGAATGCAATGATCATGCATAAAACATTTTCACACATATATTCGATCATATACCAAAATAACATTATGGTGAGATGTGATTGGATGCGCATGTAAAACTTTTTTTAATCCTATTAGTGCATACTCATCAAAATAAATTATCGTGCAGCACCTATGCATCATGGTAAAATGAAAATAAAATAAATTAAAAATATAAAAGATATTAAACCATAATATTTTTAGAAAATTAGCAAATAAAATGGTATCATTACAAAATAAATGTAATTGAACATAAAACATAAAAGTATAATTTTAATGAGAAATATATTTATTTGCAAATGGATAACCTCTTTTAGAAGATAAAGTATAAGATGCCTCAAAATGAAAAAGATAAAGTATAAGAGTGTTAAACAGTATAACACACTAGGTTGTCGATAGCGTGCTATAGCAGCATAGCGTAGCAGTACAAGACCTCGGCGCCACACTTTTGGGCTGCTAACCGCTATTCGCGATAGTGGAAATAGCGGCCACTATTTGTGGAGTCGTGGCGGCGCAATAGCAGCGCAAAAGTGGTTCTGTAGCGATTTATAGACCACTATTGTGAAGATGAGGGCAATATTATAAGTTTGAATTTTTTTTTAAGGGAAAGTTGGTATATTTTTTCCCCTTTTATTTGACTAATATAAAAGCTTAGTGATGCTTTAGGTCATTTCCAGTTCTCTCTTCACTCAAATCCGCAAGTGGTGGATCTTTTGCCTAAATATTTGTCGTTCTCTCTCTACAAAAATTTTCTTCTTCCACATTCTCTCAAATCAAGAAGTATCTATCTTTCTCATCCATTCTTCTTCTCAAATCAACAAGCATCCATCATTCTCGTTCATTCTTCCACATTCCTCTTCACCTATTCCTCTTTTTCTTCACTTTCTCATCCATTCACATCCATTTCTCCTGTTTTGCTGATTTCTCATCTACTAGCTACCATTGCATCATCTTCTGCTAGTTTAACACAAACTTCCAACAGCAAAGGTTTTTTTAAACCTATTGGTGACAACATTAACACAAACTTTCAACAACATAGGTTTTTTCAAAGCAATGATTTAACTGATCTTATTCTCCTCAATAATATTAATGAATGTTATGAATGGTTGCAACAAAATGAGGATGAAAATGGAATATTGGAAGATGATTTTGTTTTGGGAGAAGAGGGTTTGACTTGGGAAGTTGCTGGTAATGCCACTGGGGCTAATGAACGAACAAGAGTTACTAATTACTATACATCACTCTAGACTTGCTACATTAGTGTCTAATGGAGATGGGGAGTTGGAAGTGGAAGAAGAAGAGTTTGAAATTGAATCAAGTGATGAGCAAAATAATATTAATGTGGTGGAACTTAGAAGTGAAGATGAGGCGGATGTGATTTAGTCATTTTGTTTATGTTTAGAATTTAGTTTAGTCATTTTGAGCACATTAATAATTTGATTGTGATGGTAACTTATATTGTGGTGCTGTTGGAATTTATGTATGTTGTTGCAACTTCTGTTTTTGAGGCATTATGTATGTTGTTGGAACTTATTTTAAGTATTTATGTATTCATGTTAAGTATTTACTTTGATTTTTAAAGCTCACAATAGCGGTCATCCCGCTATCTGCTATGCCGCTATAGCATTTTGGGGGTCCGGCGCTACACACCGCTATCCGAGATTAACAACCTATATAACACAAAATTAATAGGAAATTTTATAATAGTTAATTCCTTTGAAATTAATATCTCCCACCATTTTTTACATGAAAGCTTCTAAATTGACATCCATTCTCCAACTTTACTTTATAATAAAAATAAAAATGGAGAGTTAAGAATTTTAGTAAGGAAAATCGAATATATTTTCCTACATTTAAACATATTTGGATCTAGCTCTGTTGTATTGATTGCTTCTGCACGCCTTCTGCTTAAGCTTTGTTTTCTTTCCATAGTAGTGATTTTCTTTCTTTGCTAATAAATAAAAAAATAATATTGATTTGAATATAAACTACAATAAATATATTTTCGTTGAATATTTCTTATACATGAAAAATAATATTGATTTGAATATAAACTATAATAAATATATTTTCGTTGAATATTTCTTATACATGAACTCTTGCAGGCTATGGAAATGATGAAGGTGAGGACAGGTTCTTCTCCTTATTTAAAGAACACATTCTACCAGAGTTATTTTGATGCCTTTATTGAAAAGAAAACAGACAATACTGTTAAAGTTAAAGATGAAGTGGTTCAAGAAAGTTCGATGAATCAGGTTATTCTGTATATTCTTTTTCTAACTTCTCCTATTTTTGTTGTACTACTTCTTGCACTGCAGAAAAGAATATAATTTTCTTTATTTTGTTTGTATATAAGTCCCATCATTTCTTTATTTTAATTGTTGATGAAGTCCTTGTAACACAAGATATCAAGCATATCCAGTTTGGACAATTTAATAGATATGTATAGGTATATTTATTTTTGTATAGCAAATATATATGTATATGGTGGGATATGACTTAAGATTGTGGATGGAGGATGGAAGAATCATGCAGATACCATTTCAACCTTTTGCCAGGAAACATAAATTGTTGGGATCCTCTTAGTTTTTATTCAGAATTTTTTTTGGTGGATCAATGCACATTTGAAAGAGTTTATTTGAATTTGTGGAATAGTTTAAGCATTTGTAGAAGTGTGTGGAGTATAGAAATTTTATGAAGTGTATCAATTGTGTAGTACTAGAATGAAATATGACTACTGTTGTGTAAATTGATTTTAACACAGTTGATGTTAATAAAAGTTAAAACAGGATTGTACCGTAAGTACAGTCGATAAAATGTTGCATGAACATTGATGAGGAGACCAGGCTCTATTGTAGATCTCTCATAGGTCAGCAACTGGTCATGCTTGCAGTTGATGTTGATTATAGAACTCAGCCTTAGACCAGATTTTTGAGGCAACATAAAAGATGAGTAGTTTGTTGTTTCTAAGTTAGACTTGCATAAGCTGCAAATGGATGAAAGATGACATCCTCGAAGACTCAAGTTCAATCAGTTGGAAATTTGTTTTGCATCAATCTCCAAATTAGCAAGGATTTGGACGGAGGGATAAATTTATTCCATATTGATCTGACCTGATTAGAAGGTTTGGACCGTCACGGCTGACTCCGAGCAGAAGGCTTTTTGAACGAGGAGGGGGGGGTACCTGCAAGGCACTCCGATGCTAAAGTCAGTGGGAGTACGAGCAGATAATAGAGTTGAGGTTAGAATGATGAATACCTGACCCTCTGGAAACAAAGGGTATTTATAGCCCCCAGCGCTGGGCCAAGGTTCCTTCATTGGGCCGGGCGGATTTGGCCCAATGGAGGAACTGCCAGGTTCTACGTGGGTAGTGGGGACCTGCACGTGGTCCCCTTCCTGGATGTGCTGCGTGAAGTGCGGGCGGACGGAGACACGGTCTTTCCGGAGTATCGTTGGGGGAACGGTGGACTGAGTCTGCCCTAGCCGGGTAGCTCGAGACCATGTCGAGCTGCGCAGCACGGTGCCGAGCTCGACGTCAGGACCTCGAGCTGGACAGCGGGTGTCGAGCTGGACGCCAGGACATAGAGCTGGACGGCAGGGTGTCGAGCACGACTTCACCGCGTGGGGCTGGACATCGAGATGTCGAGGTGGACATCAGGGTGTCGGGCATGGATGTGACCCCCTTTGCCCAGTGTGGTCCTTAGTGAGTCCCTTTTGGACTGGGCCTTAGTAATGCTTTTGGGCCGGTCGGGCCCAGTCCAGAACAGGAGCCCCCCAAGTCGTGGTTCCTTTGCGAGGAGCCATGACTTGAAACCAAGTTGTTCGGTCGTTGAGGTCTCGTGCCCGGGATGGAGGTGTGGGCCCTCGAGGGGCCTCCTCGTGTCGTGCTCGGAGACGTCCTCGGTGGTGGATGCGGGGAGGATCCGTACCGGGCGCGTCGGTCGAGCACACGAGGCATCTTTCGGGAGCTGTGCCGCCACCCTAGGGGGGTAGGGCCATCATTGCGTTGGGAGCAGTGCGTCGAGGAGATGGAGTCCGTGGTTGAACGAGGTGACGTTTGGTATTCCACGTCATCACTATAAATAGGATCCTTGGGCCCCATAATACGTTTTCCGTTCTCCGTGCTCTCTCCGTTGCCGCTCTCAACACTTTCTCCAGTTGCGACTTCCCGTCTCAGATTCTTCCATTTCTTAGCCAAATCCCAAACTTTGATCCAAGTAAGTGATCTACTTTCTTCATTTTTCCGTTTTAGAATGCATGATTCCTGGAAATTGTAGATGTTTTAGGACCGTGCGCGTGGGATTAGCCCGGTAAACTCGTGTTTTGCCCGACATATTCATGTCTAGGACCGGCAGACGCATATTTGTGGCCGACACATTCATAGTTTTAGGTGAAAAACTTCAGAGCTGCCCGGGGTCTTCATGATCTGGGGCGCCTGATTCATGACGGTGCCCGGTATGTTTATGGTCGTGGCCGTGGGCTTCATAGTGCGGCTCGCCATGTTCATACCTCGGGTCGACATGCTTGAAGAGTGGCCGCGTAGTTGGTTTTGAGGAAGAACACTGGGTTCAGGAGAGTCGGGGAGGCATCCGCTTGTGAAAACGGACTTGTGTAGTCGTGTATGGGACGACATGATTATGTCGAGCATAGGACTTCGTGCTCAACTGATTGGTTTCCCGTGCTCTGCAGGTAACCATGGCGGACGAGCCGAGCTCCTCCGGACGTCGTGATCGCGAAGAACAGAGTGCCGACGAGTCGGCCACCCTGATAGATACCGTGACCGACCCATTGCTGGAATGGGTGGGTGTCGAGCCTCGGGGGACAACGTCGATATATAGCCGGGATGACCGACATCCATTCACTGTCATCGAGGAGGGTCAAGACCAGCCCGACTCCCAGCAGAACTTCGTGGTCATGCTTCCGTCGACCAATGCAAGAATTTGCTCGGTTTATCCGAACTACAGCCTCGCGATGTATGAGATCGCGTTTAAAGACTTAGGGTTGCGGCTGCCGTTCACGGATTTTCAGGCCGGGGTCTTTATGCACTTGGAGCTGGCCCCGTCCCAGCTACACCCAAACTCTCTCGCCTTCATCCGGGCGTTTGAGTTGACGTGTCGCTACTTGAGGATAGGGGCGACCATCCCTCTTTTCTTTCGGGTATTTCACCTGCAGCGTCAGTCCCGAGGAGGGAAGCATAGCTGGGTGTCCCTGAAGCAGTCGAGGAGACTGTTTAAGATGTATATGGACTCAGTGAGGGGGTTTAAGGACAAGTGGTATGTGGTACGCCCTATTACCGACTCTGCTTTAGATTCCCTTTTCGAGGAGGAGGGGCCAGTCAGCGACGATGACGGGGAAACGATGGTGGCCGACGACGGGAGCCCTGTGTTGGGTCGTAGGGCTAAGTTCCCGGTGTACTGGATGTCCCGACATTACGAACATGGGACAGGTTATTACCATACCGCTGTCGGGGACATGTGTTCGGAAGATCAGCGGGCGTACGAGGCTCTTTGCCGGTTTGTCGACAGTTTTCATCCCGCCCGATGGGTTACGCGGGAAGGGGATGATATCCTCGACAAAGACGGTTACCCGACGTTCGAGTCTCGCCCGATCGACACCAAGGCGCTGGTGGAATGTCCGACGTACAGGCAGGCTGCCCGCCTGTTAGGTTGTTTGCTTGAAATTCTTTTATTCGTCGTTTATTCGTGCAGTTTGCTCGATACTGACTTTTTATTTACTTCGTGCAGGTACGATGGCTAGCCGACATGAAAGGCTCCTGAAATTATCAACCGACCAGAGGCGAGGCAGGAGGGTCGTGAAGCCCCCGCAGACGACGAGAATGGGACCACCACAAAGTCCGAACGCTCCTCAGCCGGTGAGGGTGGACTCGACGTCGAGCTCGGGTCCTGCGTCAGATCCAGAAGTCGAGGAGATTGATCCCAGTGCTGTTTTGACGCAGAGGAAGAGGACCCGCGTGGAAGGCGGTTCGACTGTCGGGGAGGATGTCGGTGCTGTTCAATCTTTTGCCTTCCCCCCTTGCTTTGAAGAGGCGGGCTTTTTCGAGCGATTCCCTCCGACAGTGGTCGCCCATGAAGCTGAGGCCATAAAGAAGATGAGCAAAGAGGAAAGGAAGGCGTATCTGGCCGCCAGCGTGGATGGGCTGGTAAAAATGGCCGAGATGGCCTTGGTGCTATCTGAGGATGGGGGGGATGCTGCCCGTGTTGAAGAACTCGAGCAGGAGAAGGCGGCCCTGACTGCGAGCTCGCGGAAATTGAAGGTCGCTCTGGAACGCTCCGAGGGGATGTTCCGAGAGCAGACCGCGATACTTGATGCCGAGAGGGAGATGCTGACCCTGGAAAAGGAGAAGTCGGGGAGGTTGACTGAGGAAGGGGAGTTGCTCCGGACCGACAGGGATCGCTTGGCTGCCGAAGTCGAACGCCTGGGTAAACAGGTCGAGGAAATGAATGCTGTCCTGCAACCTGCCGAAGATGAGCCCGAGGACATAGTGACTTTGAAGAGTCGGGCGGAGCTGGTCGCCCACATCCGGCTCCTCGAGGCGGACTGCGTCGGTGCTCTGGAGGACGGGTTCAATTCTGCAGTCGATCAGCTCTCATTGCTAAACCCTGGTCTGGTCACTGAGGGTATCGGTCATACACACCGGGTTGTAGGTGGCATGATCGTTCCTCCGCCCGACTCTCCTGGCGTCGACAATGATGATTCTGTGGAAGTTTGAGTAGGATAGCGGGCCTGCGTGCTCTTGATATTTGTACTCTTTGGGCCTGCGTGCCCGTTTATTGTATGTTATAAACATCGCCGGCCTTCTTGGTCGGTTTAATATTGCTTTGTTGCCTTCGGGCGTTTATACCTTGTTATTCATTTCGGATTTTTTGCCCTTGTTTGAAATCACATGCTTGTATGAATTTAGCCTAAGTCCCGGGCCCGAGGAGTGCCCGTAGGTGGCTTTGATTTGGCGAGCGAATATGCTCGTCTCCTCTTGTATGCAATCTCGGCCCTATTTTGATTGGCCGGGGTTGCCCAAGTGTTGCGCTCGAGGGGAGAGGTTTCCTTTTGACCCTTGTAGATGTCCCGTTATTCTTGATGGAATGTCGGGCAATTCGGAGCGAGGTTGCTCAGTCGGGCGTGGAGCCCGTTAGGGACGATTCGCCCTTGGCGTGAACTGCCCATCGCGAGCTGGGTGTCCTGCCTTATGGGTACGACGACGGTGGGGCTCGATACAGCTGTCCACGTCAGGCACTATCGATCGTCATCGTTTACCGCGCGATGCCGTGCCATTTTGGTCGTGTGTCGGGCCTGTACCTTAGCCTTAAACGAA